TTTCAAATCCTCGTAGTGATATAAACAGAACAAGGAATAACGTAAAGGTTTTAAAATTGGTAAGCGTGCGGGCACAAACGCTGCCGCAACAAGACGCCTTTCAATAATTGCTTTACTATCTTAGTCAACATTAGGTAAGTTGAGGTTTCTAAAATTGCTATGGAAGCTGCGCTGAAAAACGAGTCAGAAACGGCTTAGTCCCTGCGAATGCCATTGTTAGAATAAATAAAATACAAAAACAACAAAAGAACTTCTCGGGCGTCACGCCTAGCTGCAGATCACTTTCAATGGATTTCATAGATGCCTTGATAGAACACAAGCAGGACTCGTTGAGCCTTTGTTATGAGTATCAAGATCTTCCTACCTATTGACTTCTGTCAGAGATACATGTTGTGATTATTTGGAACAGTTCCCGATCATGAATTGAACCATCTAGTCATGTTCCCGAGATCATGGGCACTATACCAAGGCCGTTTAATACGTAAGGGGCAAACACCCTGTCTCTGTAGATAAAGTGGATCTTATAGAGATATTTAGGGCGATTTGAGGAGGCAGGAAAAGGCTAACCGAGAGTGAACACAATACTTATGGCGGAGTCCCATTTGTTGATTCTCATAGGTCTGATTCCGTACGTGCACCTGACCGAAACAATCAGTTGTTTCGTACTCGTAATCAGACGTACGAGACAGTTCCTGTGGGTACGTCCACAGCGCGCGACTATACATAAGGAAGTGACGCCAAACACACCGAACGAACACCGACATTTAACAGGTATGATGCCCGAAACTGGTTAAGAATTAAAGCAGCTGGCGCAGTGTCGAGCCACTTGACAACCTTCGCGTTACACTCATCTAGCCGGTGGCACGGAATCAGCTTATTGACTTCAATGGGTGGAATAGAACAAACAGCGATACGAATATAGAGATTAGATCCGATCTAAGAGGGCGGATTCATTTAGATGACCATCGCTGGTCTTTTCCACCCCAAGCTCCGCACCCTCGTGAAGTAATTAACGCCGCCATGAAGCATAATGAGCTGCTTATATGATTAGGTTTTTTATTATTATTAACTACGCATGCGGCCGTCTTTGCTCGATAAGCAAGCAGATCGACCTAATTTGCTATCTATTTCAGTTGGGAGTTCGGCCTTCAAATGGCACACGTCGGAAGAGCCGAGCACCACAGTTGTCTCAAATGAGAGCTGTGCTAAGAAAATTTGCGCAGTACGCTTTATTATGCAGATCACTCATTCTTCACTTAAGCGTAAATAGTCGTTTAATAGCAAAACAAAAAGTCACGTTAAAAAGATCTATCATTCCCAATGAGACCAATCTTAGGTGCATCACTTACATTTTCGCTTGCGTACTTAGTCACGAGCGGTGCGACCCCCCTGAATTTAGCTATTTTTTTTTATATAATTCCTCAACACGACCTGCAATATCTCAGTTTAGCGATCTTCTCTAAAATTAAGCAATTGATTTTAATGTTGTAGGAGGAGTTTTGCCTAATGTAGGTGGCATTTAATGACGCAGAGAATGACGTATCGCATTGACTGCATGTAGACGAAAAGTTCAAGTACGTTTCAGTAAGGCGCCATACCAATTCTCTTCAGTGTTGCGAAGATTGCATCAAAATATCGTTGACAACAGTCGCGTCGCAGGGATCCAATACGGATTAACTTTTTCAGGAATCGTTATTTTGGCTCCGCACATAGACTTCTTCGTTCAAAATGCCATCATTTAGAAGGAATGCTATAGCACGCGAAGGTTGCCGACGCCGTAACTCAATGCAACTGCAAATAAACACTGCGACAAGTTCAAGTTAAAAATACATCAAAATCAATCGAAATTGGCCTCTTCGAATTGATAGCAGTTTTCGAGAAATCCAGTTACTGGAACTAGATTCGAAGAGATCACACAACTAGCGGACAACCGTTCAATTTGCCTGGCGGGCGGACAGGAGTATTGAAAAATAAGTAGTATGCATACATGGTCAAGATCTAGCAATCTTCAGTTTACTCTAACCAAGCTTGGAGTACTCTAAGCCGCAGAGAGGATAAAGACACTACTAAATACGCAATTATAAAGGTGTATACGGATTTTGCAAATAGGCAAGTTGGCTGTGTCACTTTCGGCTACCAGCATTAGTCGATATACGTCGAATAAGTGATCCGACGGTAATAACCGAGTTCCTGCAGGAACAACAAATGTTATTTGTATTGTATAACTCGATCGGCTAGACTATATCTACATTGGATCATGGTTAGCCAGACAATGTTTTCCGACAAAGTATATGCCTTTTATTACACATGTCCTTCTTTCTACAAAGCAAATAATGTGCTACCGTGACAGCCACCATCTGGCGATAGTCGTCTACCGGTCACGCAATTAAACAACGGTACTATTATTTAGTAAAGTCGTATCCCATACGTCATAAAAAACATACTCAAGTCTAATCTATTGCCACCGTTCGTAAAGGTCAGTTGGTCAGTTATCTTTGTGGCTACATACAACAACGGCTGTATAACACCAGCTCGTACGAAAGCTGAAATGACATTAGGAGACGCTGTATTTGATCCTGTAGTCTGAAATGGTACAACGTCTTCCTTTCGTAGCCTTAAATAATCGACCATGATAGCATGTTTCATACTAGATTCTGTATATCTCGCCCTATGACATGAACGCTACAGTCGTGTTATTAGACACATACGTTATTACCTTACGGTGAAATATTCTTCCACGTTGTTGCCCCCGCTCATATTAGTTATGAGATAAAATTCTCGCAACTCGAGATAAAGGCTGGGCGCGGTGGATGTCAACTGTTCCACTGCTGGAAGCGCGGATGATCAAAAGCGACTTCGCAGTAGGATGAACCTAAGAAATAAAATAGTAGTTTTGATGCAATCAGCGGGTTTCAGCGAAGTATCAAGCCAACGACTTCATGGCCGCGATTCCGTCACGCCATTTACCACCCGACTACGACAATGACACTGCCTTCATAGGGTCCCCCACTTCATAAATCATTTCCGCATGCGACTAAAAATTACTCCTCTGTATCTAATCTTTCTCATTTGTACGGAACCTGATTTCAAGAGCCTCATGGAAAGATTAACAAATGGTAGTGGGTTTGGCGTTGATTATCAGAATAATGTTTTCGAAATAGGATTTCCTTATCTGAGAAGCCAACATAGTAAGGGGCAAGGATGCTGGTAATCGTCAAATATGCATTTCATTCAGTAGCATTTGGCGCACCAGTGCTTTGCCACGGTTGTCGTTGTCGTTAGTTCACGTATATTTTAAACAAAATTTCAAAGGCAAACGTAGTTAAACCTACTTTTAAACAATAAACTTTAATTTTCTGAGTACAGTATCCTATCAAGAAATCTTGTGCTGTGAATCAGTAATTGTACGGCTTATACTACAATTCGGATTATTGACAACTTATTGTGTGTAAGATTCAACGAAGATCATATAGAATACTGGGTTTCTAGATAAAATATTAAAGGAACAGTTCTAAACTTAGTAATAACATAAAGAGGTGTCATAATATGATCGGTTCATAAACGTTTTTCATTTTCATTCAGACATTACAATTATGTAGTGAATAATTTTTATTTTGCGTTTTAAACAAAGAGGAAGGGGCGTTGTCAACAGCTCGTTCAGAACGCTGGAGATCATCACCCATCGGCGTACTTGCAACAGTCATCTGGCCTCCCAGTATTCGACCAAAGGCATTTCGAGGCGAAGGAGTTTGCCCTATCTTGTATAAGGTTATACGACGGAAAATACAAAACCGTAGAGGCGTTATATGTATTTCATCAAGAATTTTGTTGTAGAAGCGAATGAGAAAGACATCTACCATTTATGAAGCATGTTTTGGATTTTGCTGGAACAGAAGAAGTGCAGTCGAATCTAACTGCTAAACGTACCACCGTACAGGGCTCATTTAGTATACAGCCATTAGCGACAATTATTTAAATTACTGACACGGTCTAATAATAAAGATTTGTAATCCATATTTACTAAGCTTTTTCCTAAGAATTTGTATTTGACTAAATGGAACAATTTTTTTTCCTTTGAATCGTATACATTGCATGTAGGTCAGAAGATGGGTCTCCGTCTACCATCGACAGATATCTTATATCAATATATCATTCGTCCAGTAGTAGGCATACGCTTCCCAAAGAAAAGCGTTTCCTTCTGAACTTATCAACTTCCTTTCATTGTCGTTTACTTGACCCACCTATGTCATAAGCGTACTTTTAATTGGTATATATGACTTCATAGGACAACTTGTAATAGAATGCTTCAAAAGGAGATGATGATTCTTTAATAGTCCTCCAGTCTTGTACGTTAAAACACGCCACCATCTTACCCGATACCAGATGCCAGCACTGCATGTCGGCTTGATTCTCGGACGCAATCAGATATATGACGATATGTAGCGTCTGATCTGGTTAACTCAACTAGTTATTGCTAGAGGCACAACGCATATTTCCACTTTTTTGATTAGGGATGGAAGCTTCACGCGCTTAGTCAAAATGAAGTGCACTGCCTTCAAAAACCCAGTATATTGGCGAAGTGACATACTGTATATCTATATTCTGATTCTACCCCTGTAGATAGAATCCTATGGCACATTTAAGGACCCGTTGATTTAATCCGTTGGCGCTTTTAACTCATCGCATCAGTATTCCGAAATATTGTTGATATTGTATTATGTACGAAAAAACATTCCCATAGATTTTCCTTTTTCAGTTTCAGATTTTTTTCAGAGGCTTTTCAGTTCAAACCCTGTAATAGGCCACACGAATAATCTGATTTCGCACTTTGGAGGTAAATATTTGCCTCGAAAAACAAATACCCCAATTGTCGCACTTGTCATGAAACAAAAATTGATGTGCTTTTACTACGGAATAGATTGAAAATTTCAAGAGATTTCATCTCACTTATCTGCATTTGGTATCATTATTTTTGTAACGTATCAGTGATCCATACACGATCGAAACCAACTTTGTTTCGTCACGCAGCAGTGAGCAAAGCAGGTATATTTTGTCATCCATCTGAACGTTTTAGGACTGAAAAAATAATTCACATTTTATACTACGCGTCCTGCTTGAAAATCAGTAACATTGCGCTACTTTGTTTCTATTGTGATAGTGAAACTAATAAATGCGGGAACTTTGAATATTTGGGACTTTCAGGCGCCTTTTGCATTTCTTATTCTCATTGGCTTTTAAATTGTTGAGCCTGAGCCACTGAGAACCCAGAAGTGCAGTGCTTTCATGCATTCCTTAATGAAATGTTTTAAGTAGTACGTCTGCTGTTTAGAGCGTTAAATATAGTTTTAGACGGCTTGCCCTTGGCAGGAAACGCCCGAATTTTCACCTTGACGATTACGCCTCCCGAAATTTCGTAGGCGACTACGGAAAAACAAACTGATCAATACATCAATCAGTATGCTTAAACGTACCCTTTGTTAATTTAAGAGCGTGTCATTTACTCGTAGCGGTTCCGAAATTTCGGCTTCCCGTGGAAATGTCTGACTTACTGAGATACGGAGTATCAATCTTTATTGTTGCGTGTCCCTGGCTTAGTTCGTGCTCCTTTGAGGAAAAGGTACCACAGCTGTGTTCTCCACATCTCGATGGTCCTTCAGTTTACCCGTCAAATGTCTATTTATGTCCGATATCGCCGTCAGGCATTCGATCGAAGACTGGCTCCCAGCACGAAACGTAATCTGTCTATGATCTAGTTTAAAACTAGACCACCACATGTCGCTAAAATTACCCTTCACGCCTGATCGATCCGTTTCGCTTGAGACTATCGTTTTCTACGTATTCGGTAGCAAGGTTTTCAGAAGTGACCAGCTAGGACAGGCGAGCTGCTATATCTTCAGCGAGGCTACCCAACGCAGAGTCCGTTGCGCCTTGTAGAAAACAACTTTGGCCTGTTCTTGGCACGCTCTTTGGTTGGTAAATGGTCACGAAATCCGATCTGTTCGTTGCTGTCACCTGCTAAAACTGTACGAAAGATACTCTCGGCGCGCTCCTATGGACGCGATCCAATAGCTCGTCAGGCAGCCATCTCTCTGCGAATCATTTAACGCTTTCCACTTTTGACGAACTTTAATCACTAAACATTTTGGTAAGACTCGTGACCACTATTCTTATATTCTTACGCTTTGTATGTCACTTAAATTTGTAGGCGCTTTGCAGACTATCGCTTGAAGACCAGACAAATATCCAAAGGTACTCCCTCTTTTTACGTAGCAGAAGCCTATTTTAAAAAGTTACTATATTTTATCGATATATTTAATGGCTTGTAGAGAACTAAGTTCGCGCCAGCGAGGAAGCACGTGGCCGAACGAACCTGTGAATGCGACGAGGCCCAAGCGACCACGCGGTGCCGGGAATACATCAGTCACCAGCCAGTTCGCCACAGAGGCAAGCTTGCTGGGGGCCAGATCGTCGCAGGAAGTAAGAGTAAGGCAGCCATTAGTACTATGACGCCATCGGGCCGTAAGCTACGTGATCGACGTGGCGAGGAATCGAAGGGGGTCTTGCGCGAAGGACTCGTGTCGAAGTATAAAGGCGTGGTCAATGAGCCATATATAGTACGAAATCGCCAGACTTAGACCATAATGGCTCCACAAAGGGAAGGCATCGAGTATATATAACGATAATGGACAGAAGTGCGAGGGCGCCAGGATCGTTCAAAGTGCAACCACTGGTTAGGTGACCAGATTAAAGGTGTTACACGATGCGAAAACACTGACCATTATTAGGTAGGGCCCGGCTCCTTGGGGGTAGTAAATCTAAACGAAGCTGTGAAACGGCAAAAAATAGGTTAAGTAAGATAAATATATCTAAGATAGATATTTCATAAAAAAAAATTGTATTTCTTTTTATTCCGTTGTGATATGCATTCTAGGCAGGTGATATTATAATTTAAAGTTCAAAAATAAGCGTAAATCCAGTAGTTTACGACGAAATATCTGGTTTGTGCGCGAAACGCCCGCGAGGATGCAAAAAGCGAATGCCAGATGAAGTCACTACCGTGCTCCTAGCCGCATAGACCTGGCCAATTACTCACCTAAATACATAAAGTTAGTAGTTACACTCGCTTGATGACGGGCTTCCATTAACTTCACCACAAACGTGCCACATCAGTAATGACACAGCACGTTTGTTATACTCGGTACGGACTTAAGTTCGCACGTGCGCATTTTCGAGGTAATACCACAGGGGTAAAGTAGGGCTTTCGGATATATTTCCCTAGAATTGATTGTTCGTTCGTTATCTAATCATTGTCGCCATTACCTGTTACCCTTAGACTTAGCTTCGAATATTTTAGATTTTAAACACCATCGTGCCAATCCGTTCTGCTAAAAGGCTAACAAGTTAACAGAGGTTAAGTATCAGGAAATTAACAGAGAAAATTCGGGCGGAACCCATGACTCTGTCGGCAACTCAGTAGTTTGTTTTCGCAAATGTTGTACTGAAGTCTAGTTACGTACCTTCGGAGCACTTCTAAAAACTACCTCAGATGGTTGGTTGCACAGAACGTAAGCACAATCCACAAATCGACTCTAGACTAATATCCTCGCTGAGTAGTACGGACGACAAAGGCTTCGATAGTAATACCTTATGCACAGAAGGCAGTGAAAATTCAACAAGTTCTTAAAATTATCCTAATTATCTACATATACCCCAAAGTGATCAAAGGAAAAACTAGTTTTCGTTATTTTCATTACGTAATCACACTCTAATTGCATGCAAATTGGAGTCTCCTTCGTACACTTGTATCATCCATACTACAGCTTTTTGTCTTGTGTGAATAAATTGTTCGGACCCGATATCACAAACGCAACGTCATGATTGCTCAAATTTACGGCAGCATGCGTACGATACGTATTAACTGTCGGAACGATAATAGGCCACAGGCTACAGTTGGTTAGCGCATGAGTGACTTGATAATGGCATGAAAAGTACAAAAGAAGAAGAAAAATGTTTCCAACTTAACCAAAGAATACCTAAATTTCCAAAAAAATTAAAAAACATTTTGTTCTCGAAGACTCTTCAGATTATTTTGTTACTTTTCAGATTCCGTCACCTCTTTGTGTAAGCTCCGATACCTTTCTCAGTTTTTGCTGTCATGGTTTTCCAATAGTTAGACGCTGCTTTAATAGTGGGTAAATTGCGCGTTGTCTCTACGAGCGCATGAACAGCAAGCACCCCTACCGCCGCTCAGATGCCAAGTGCGACCATAATGAGGAAAGCTTCTAACGAAAGCGTTCCTTTGCTGATGGGCCTCTCCTTGTGTCGCATAGCAAAACAGATTTCGCAGTCCTAGTTCGGCAACGACGAATCCAGCTGCAGCAGCCAATACGGCGGGGATGAATAACTCGACGTCCCTGTAGGCTCTCTTTAACTTATAGTTAAACATCCTATTAACGCCTCGTGGCGTACAAGTTGACAACAAGTAGAATTTGGCTACAAGCTAAACCTTCCACGTGTGTAGAAACGTCTCCAGCAAACGGCGAGTCTTGAAGTAAATTGTATATGAAGAGCGACCCCGAATCCGATCATAAGATAGTCACCGCACTCGAGAATAAATAAGTTAACAACGATTTTCAAGAAATATTTATATGTGACAACGTTTTCCCAAACCAATGATGGATAACCGATGAATTCGTCACGTAGATATAAACCGCTAGACGATTTGAGGATAGCTTGAATTTTTTGATCGGATCTGTATATTGTATGTTGAATCTAGGAGTCAACTTCCTGCAGGAGGCAGAAAAGCGAGGCGAAGATTCCTATCATATGAAATATGTTGTCAATTCATTGAATAGAGGTCATTGCTTGATTTGATGCCTTTATTCTGACAAATAAAAAATAAGTTGGATTTGTATCAGTTGGCGGAAAACAGCCAGGCTCGCTCATTTCTGACGCAACTTGTTATCGGAATAGAAGCGCAAACGCGTCAGAGACAAATCGCGTCCGCTTAACGGGTTTAGCGTGAATATAGCTACGTATACAACTACATAGATAGGCGTAGATAGATTAACCCATCTAATGTGTTTTAGTTGTTTACCTGATGCTGGCAGAATCCCTTGTGACATCAATTCAAATTGCTTGCCAAAAGAAAAAGGAGACACCTCGTATCCGTTTGCTATTGCGTAATTTAAACGAACAGATTATATCCCAGATCACACAGAACCTACAATATGTACCAAAAAATTCACATTGTCATCTATTCCGGAGTCCTTCGGTTACATGTCAGGAAATTTATTGGGACGCGCGTCGCGATGTATAAAACCCTCTCCCTAAAAATTATGAAATCGCAAGTATAATTTCTCGGTAGCTGTGGAAACCAATAAGCGATCTGACCTTCCTATTACTTTAGAGAGTTTAGACTACAAAAAAAAAATGGCGCAAGCATATATCCTCCTGCCATTGATAGCCTCAAGAATTCGCCCATTTGTGGATAAGGCTGTTATTGTATGGCACATTTTTTGAGTTCTGCTGTCAAAGTCCAGCGCAGGGTGAAGGCTGAACGCAGGCTGATCTCGAACGTGAAAAGGAATTCCAGCTGTATTTTAAGTTGGGCATAGCGGATCAATTCGACGAAAAACTGTTAACTATCACATACAGTGTTCCAAGGCAGATGTCGATTTGTTTGTCAATTGGGACATAATAGCAAGGTCGGCCATAGATGTAATCCAGCTCTTAAAATATAAATTAGTGTCTTAAAGCATACAACAGAACAGAAATGGTGAGATAAAGTTTGCTTCGAAAGCATGCATATAAGGTTGACAGGACGTATGCACAGGACACTAAATATCCTATCTATTACGTAGGTAGTCTAATTTCGAAAATGAGGTGTCATCACAATCCTCATTATCATTCATCAAATAGAAATGTCAACAATGTTACGCTAGCCAAACACAGCCATTCGTACAGAACATCATCGCTTAAGCTAAACTGGCGGATATTCGGCGAATTCCACGTTTGGGAACCTTTTCTCTTCTTTTTTTTTTTTTTATATATTTACGAAGAAAATAAAAGCAGGCTGATGCAGTGTTTGTGTAATCTTAAGGTAGGTTGTTTAACTGTTTTAAGGACACTGTTCCGCGCAGCTGGTTATAACTTTTAATTAGGTGAATATGTACTCGAATAACGCTTTATTGTATAAAGGAATCGTGTCCATAGAACCTAATCTATTTTTCATTAGGGACTGCACAGATAATAGAAATTAAAAATACTTTTCGGGTCGGTTTTACTTGAAGACAGTGATTTATTTTCTGTAACAAGTACCTTGTCGTGTATCGAAGTGGTGTATCTCAATTAAATAATTATGTAATGCCTCCTTCTTCTAAATTCAATAAAAAAGGGATACTTGACTAGTTGAATTCAATCAAAAAAATGAAGCAAAATAATGTGAAAAATCTAATTTTGGAAAACGTCAAATTTTAGTTGAGATTCCAACATTCCTCTAATATAGTGACCCAAAACTTGATATTTTTTGAAATATTTATTCAAAGAAGAGTTTTTTTTTTTGTTATTTTTGAATATGGAGATATGAAAATAATTTTGTCCTTTGAAAGATTTTTTTAAGGATGGCTGCTTAGAAATAAGCCTTAAATATTCACAACATAATGAATGAACTCTTGCAATTAAAAATAGTGTATTAGGGTTCCAAATTCATTCCTACATCAGCCGTCTTGTTCGGACGAACCGTTAAATTCTGGTAATCACCTCACTTGACTAGGTCATACAGAAGATGGCCACTCATAAGAAAATAGGTTCAATTAATCAAATATTAGGATCGCTGAATGGTGGACCGCAATAACATGATTAAGTTTGTTATATCAGCAGGAAATCTAGCAATAATTATATTGATGTTCGACACAGAGGAGACGTTAATTTTATGAGACGATTCTACAAGCAGGAATCGCCATATGAGGCAGTTCGGTTGCAGCTCCTGCTAACTCAACGATACCGTCATCAAAAGACTTTTAATTTAAAAAGAACTTCTATTTAAGTTCGCTTCGTTCGAAGCAGACGTCGCATAAGAAATATAGAAAAAAAAAATCGCAAAATTTCCCCGTTTGCTTCCAGCTTGCTTTATATTGAAAACTGTTTGTTGTTATAACAAATACGGTTACCTTAATTTTCGCAATACTCATCATTCTTTAAAAGTAAACGTTACGATTAGGGAACGCAAGTCGTATATTGAACAATAAAAAGTAACTCTGCATTTTAATACAGCGAACCTATGTTCAAAACTATTATTTAAAAAATCTTTCCTGCCACAACTTACTTATATTTAGATATTAAATACATCGATATTTATACACATATTTGACCAGTTTCAAAGTTCCTTAATATTTATTATCGTATTATTATTTGTACGTAAGATTTCTCTGTTGGCAAGAGTCTCTAGTTAAATGTTCTCCTATCGATTGTAGTAAAAAAAAAAATAAATAAATAAATATCTAATATCAATATTAGGCATACTGACGAGGACACGTGTATTTATTTGAATTTTGTTAGCGAGGAATGAATATTATAAAATAATAGGAAATGATGGTAATGGTAGTGTTTGCGCTAATACGGCTGTAACCCGTACTTTATTGTTAACAATAGGTAAGTAAACAGACTAATCCATAGAAGCAGTTGATTACAGAAAACGAGTAACCGAACATATACAGAAACTAGTAATTTATGACATTCAATAATATAAGCCTATAATTTATGCCCGTCCGACCTGCAGACATTGTCTTTTGTTATGTGTACATGATGTTAGCCTGTACGTCCCCGCGTCTCGCTGCTATATTTTGCGACGTCTCGAGAATATTTGTTTCGACAACTTTGAAATACGACGATCCGTGACGGCCGTATAAACAAGCTCTGTCTTTATAGGATATGATGACCCTCTATAGGATACAGGACACGTGGAGGTGTATAAAAATCTAGGAAAGACATTTCCTACATGCGCAATGTCTTAAGTTATATGTTAGCCGACTGTTAATAAAAACGTACTGATCAGGTACTTTAAAATAATGTCGTTGCTAGGGGCCTCTTAGAAAAAAAAGGCTCACTCTTTCTAGCATCTGCGTGCAGTACCTTCTTATCACGTCGTGCACGTTCCGGTGTTACTAACTTTACAAAAATATAAAGAGCACTACAGGGCCGTACGCTACTACACAATCTCATGGTCCATAACCCATTCTCACCGAAAGGGTTCTGCCGAGATCACTTAGTTGAATGCAGTAATCACTTTTGATTCTACAGCTCTATCGAATCTCACCTATGTGGTAAACCAGAAGAAATATCATTACCAACGACGCAGACCATTTAGGTCGGTCATTAGGAAATGTGGCAAAAGCTAATTCCATATTTCAAAATGGCGTTACCTTATTACAGTACGACACTCCTCGACCCTTTTTTTGTCTTCCAGGTGTAGCCTTTTAGATCCGGGACTGACCACTCTAATACCACCACTCGGGCTTTTGGCAGGCGAGTTGTAATGATCTATAGACAATTCGAGTGCCGCATAAACTTCATATTTAGCGAAGAATCACCTTCTAAAAGTACTGCAAGCCGCTGACCTAGCAACAACTTCAGGGAGGAAACGAGTTCCGCGAAAAGCTGTACGACAAAGTGAGTAATAAAACATCAACGCTGTTATGGAAGTCTACCTATCTCAGTGTTCAGAGATGGTAGCACTTAGGTGTACACCCACCTGACAATACCATACCTATTTGCCTAAGCCAAAATAATCAGAAAAATGGATATTCCACGATTTGAATGAGTATCGAAAAGCAAAAGTTACTTGCTTCCATATTGTAACAATGACCCATTTTTTCAGTTAGTTTTAACTTGTGACGAATTCGATTTTTTTTTTGCTGCAAATAGTTACTTCAGTAGGTGGATGCAATCAACCCAGTGAGACATTATTTTAAGGCTTCAATAGCTTACAGTATCTATCTAATCGCTTAGCGCAAGTGTTATCGGTGACAGTTTCACGACAAGATTCCCTCTTATTGAAGCTGATGACGATCAAATTCAGCATTAAGAAATGAAAAATGTTTGATCTCGAGGTGGAAAAAATTCTACGGCCAGCTAGAGTCCGTCACCCGCTATAGTCACCATTATTATCGTAATAGTATAATGTTTAATAATAATTTCGTAATAGGAAAATTGGCAATTCGTTAATAAAACAATTTCTTAATAAAATCACAACATCATATCGAGATTGTTCTTCAAGATTTCGTGGACTTCCGTGTCTCAGACCTTTATAGCAGCTCCGGTAAATTCACCATCTGTGCTAGCAGCCTTTTGTAGAACTTTTTTGTAATACACGCTGTCACTAACTGGCCACCCGGTCCACTTCTTATTCTAATCCTGATCATCTCTTGGTGCGTAAACTCAGCAGATCTACTACGCTTAGCGTATTCTTTGGCATACTTTATACATAGCAGCACCCTGTTGCATATAGAGTCATATTTTCAGATTATCATATCGCCTGCCTTACAAATTTTAGGACAATTTACCATGAACCTGGTTTAAAAACATCCCTTCATTATACAAGCCTGCGTATGTATAATTAAATGGTCGCAATTAGATCGGCTCTGTGCATCCATCAACGCGTATAACGAAGGCTTTATCGTAGTCTTGTTTTGCCCGTTCCGCCGGC